TTCGCGCTGTTTTCAGAATCAAATAATAAAGAAAAAATATTGTCCTTCCTTTTTTACTTTTATTTAAAATCGTTGTTTTTTAAAGAAAATACGCGAAAACTTTGAGCTATTTTTTTAAACGGAATTGCGCAATTTTTGTGAACTCTATTTATGTCAGCACATGTTTTCACGCAATATTTCCTTCACCAAAAAAAAAAAAAAAAATTGGAAGTGGCTTTGTTTAACTTTGAGCAAGTTTCTAAAGTTTCGTATACCTTCGTGACTATATCAGAGCTGAAGTTCAGTTGTTCTGTAACTGCGCGAAAATGCACACGTAACGGTAATTTTGTTACTGCCGCACCTGACGGAGCGAGCGGCATCGTCTCAGTTCTCGCGACCGTTACTTTGCGCATCTTACTTAATTGGCGTGCGCTTTAATTTTCATCAATATTGGCATTCGAATGCTCTACTTGTGGACACCCATCTGCGACAGCATAGTCGAAGCTAAGGGCACTCGCTCGCTTGCATACGGATTCCCTCATCCTCCGAGCTTTGACGCAGCTTTTCTGCTACATTTTTTTCTACTTCGCAGCTTGTGCTGTCAGTTGGGGCTTAGGTTAGAGCTTGCTTTTGCGGTAGCGTTTCTTTTTAATCGTTACGAGCAGAGCATAACCGTTTATAGCACAAACACACGCACACACACACACAGGTGATCGTCGCTCCACTCTCGACATGTTTTTACACTTTTTGTTTCATTCGTCTGGTATACTTCCTGCCACGTGCAAACGTTCTTTTTATAGTTTTAATAGCAAAAAAAAGTGTCGGCTGTGAGGAATTTTTTTTTTTTCGTGTGACACGATTGTTTTTTTTTTTTTTTTTTTTTTTTTTTTTTTTTTAGGATAGCTGAAACTAGAGTAACTGCAAACAGAGCCTACACAGTCACTCTAGCTGACACCTCACGTGACGCTGTATCGCAATTCTTGCGCCGCACGAGGTTTCATAGTCTGTATTCACGAGGTCGGCTTGTTACCTGACCTTCAGCCTCGTGAATGGAGTTTGTGGTGTGCGTGCGAGAGCAAGGTAAATGCTGACACCGGAGAGCCGTGTTCACGCTGTTGATCAGGTCGTCAGGCGGCGGCGATGTTTCCTTGAAGTCTCTCTCGTCCAAGTCCAATACATTACACTTGGGATATTGTTGAAGGAAAAAAGAAAACATCTTGCTTCTCGCAAACCAAAAAAGAAAAAGCCTGATACGGGCTTGCTTGACTGCAGCTTCATCGCTCTTGTTCATATATGTCCTCGGCTGTACTCTTGATTTGATACGCACTCCCCCCCCTAGCAGGCACATAGCCAGGATTTTGTTTCGGGGGGGGGGGGGGGGGGGGGGGCGCCCTTGACAAAATGTTGTATGAGGGGGAGGGGGGTGAGAAGGTCCCAGCAAAATGGAAGATTTCGGGGGGGGGGGGGGGGGAATGGCGGGTTACATGGGCCCCCCCTGGCTACGTGCCTGCCCCCCCCCCATAGTATGTATGTATATATATATATATATATTTTGTCGGGTAGATGTTATTGGAAAGCTTGTGAATTCAAGTAGATTAGTAGGCGATTCAGTAACGCCGTGGGCGCTTATCTTTGCGAACTTGGCGAACGATCGCGAAAATTTGGCTTCCAGAAGGAAGAAAAAAAAAAGTAAAATTCTCTTGTTGGATGAAAGGAGTCCAGCTAGCGGCCGCGCGCGAGCTGGGCTCTTTGGCAAGCGGCTGAAAGAGTGTGCGCCAAGGAAACCAACTGTTGAGGGGCTGCTGCTAGACATCTCTTTGGGGCTGAACCATTCCACCGACTCAAAAAGAAAAAAAAAAAAAAAAAAAAACGCTGTAGCTTGTGACAAAAACAATTCAACGGCGCGTGCTTCCAAGCGAGAAAAGCGCGCGTCAAACGCCAAAAACTGCCAGATATATTTCTAGCTTTTTTTTTTTTCTCTCCCTTCCTCGTAACTTACCATGAACACGGTCTTCATTGTATACTTCCTATTGGTGTTATTTCGTACAAAAACAAATAAAAAATAAAAAAAAACTGGGACGCAATGTGTTCTTGAGGCGAGATCGGACTCGGACGAAGATCGGAAAAGAAGGGCGCGCGCGCGGGCGATATCGCGAACGAGAGGAGGTCAGGGAACCGGTGGTCTCTCCCAGCGGTTTCGTCACTGAGGGAAATCAGGCAGGCCGGAGACAACTTGGGATCCGTTTTCTCTCAAAGGGGGCACTGCCTTTTCCTGTGTAGGTTGTTCGAGCCAGCTGGCATGCGTAAGCTGCCGCGTCGAGCGCCCTAATCGGTGTCGTTGCCCACCGGAAGTTGCGTGCCTAGACAGCGATGACTAAAGAGTATACGTAGGGGCCTTAGCGATAGCACGAACGGGAATTTTGTTTCCTCGTGGGTCGGAGTCGAAAAGACGTTCGCCTAAAAATATTGCACCGGCAAATGAATCTCGAATCTTTTTGACTGATCGGCGGAACATCTGTCGAGACGGACAATTTGATCGTTCGATCGGCGTATGTAATAATATTGTTTCCGATAGCTTGCTAACTGCTACGCCGGATTTGATTGGAATGTAGCAGACGCTGGGGCATGATAACGCTTCCTTTTCCTAGGCGCGTGATCAGAAAGGCTCTCAGACAACCAAAGAAATGCTGCACTTCGCCTCGCTTTCGCGCACCGCCGTTTTCTTATTGACGTCAGTTTTCACCGATTTTACGTGCTAGATTCGCGAAAACTTATAATAAACACCGATTAAAGTGGATTTTATGCGAGCGAAATAAATGCCGATGTATTGCGCCGAATCGTATCGGAAAGAAACACCGAAATCCAGAAACCCTGTGCTCCGTTTTGATACTCAGTTTGCAGCGCCGTCAAAAAGCTGTTGGCGCGAGCATGCGGTTTGATTTTGCGGTTCGTTTGCACGCGCTCTCGTGTAAATGAGGCGCTAAATCAAGCTGCGCGCTCGCGCCAGTAGCTTTGACAGCGTTGTATACGGCATATCAAACGGAGGAGAGTTATTACGGGCCATTATTGTTACTGGCGCACCTCTCTCTCTCCTCGCCCACGCGTGCGCGTAAATGTATACACACGCATACGCGAACATGTGTAAAGTGTACGGTATAAATTGGAAACACAGAGGAATATAAATAATATACGCAATCTGGCACAGCTACAAATAAGAGAATTGAAGTATACTACAAGACAAGTACCCACACCTCGTTTAAACTACAGAAAAGAATGCCTGCGTGATACAAAAACACAGTTAGAGCGCAGTCGAGCTCGTGTAGGTTTACCATTTTTTTTAGACCACCTGAGACTGAGTGGAAGAAATAGCACGACGTCTCAAACACAGCTAACAGTTATACACTTCCGTCATTATTAAACGCTTATCAGCTTATGCATTCTGATTTATTCGCCTGTAAATACAGTGAACTCCGTGCATTGTCTGTAACCATGGGAGTATGATTTTTGTTTTGTATGCCTGTATACCTCTGCGTTTTCGTGGTCATTATCCTTTTATGCATGTTCATTCTTCCCACCGTATAGTGCTGCTTAGTTGCCATTAATACAGGGACGGTGGGCTCGTCGAGCTGCTAAGCGCAGCTTTTTTTCCACAGCCCCTCCATCTGTATTTTTACAAGGTGGAAATAAACTCATTTGATGTATATAGTATACGTAGGGTTCCGCGTTTTCGGTTTCTATTTTTTCAAAATTCGGCGTACTTTTTTCGGTGTTTATTTTAAAAATGAATTTTCGTTTTTTTTTTTCGGCGTATACCTATGTCCAAAAAGATTATCCTTTTTTTTTTTTCGGCGAATATAAAATAAACACCAACGGACACTGGATCAGATGATCCTTGTACGTAGCTCTGATATTTGTGATCACTCAAAGAATAACGGCACAGATACATTGAAAGAGAAATGGACACTTTATTTGGCAAATGTGTGCAATTATAAAAGAAACAAGAAAAAAAAAAAGAAGTACAAACAAGTCAGATATGAAGCCTATGCCCAAAAAAAAACAAACATGAAACTTCACCTTCTGTACATCAGGATTATGTGATCTTATTATCGTACACGCACATGTACTTTCCCAGGTTCTCCTCCTTGATCCGCACTCTTTCTTTCCCGTTAATATGACCCTGAGCTTCGAGAATGCCCTCTCAACGCTAACACTGGACACTGGCAGGCTGAGGAGATGAACCGCTGCCTGAGCCGAAATCGGACAATCAACCAATTGTGACCGCCAAAAGAGACACGGTGCGACGTTTTGAGGCACAACACAGCATGCAGAGCTAGCATCAAGTCAGTCTTCCTTACAACGAGTTTGAAAACACGTTCGTGCGTGGCGAAGTCATGGGACATTTCGGAATTCACGTTCCGATCGATGATGCGCACATTAAACCAAAACGTTGTGATACCATTCCTGTATCCCATACATCCGGACACGTTTCGATAGACACTGTAGTTCCACTTTTTCGCCACGGCTCTGCGGTGCGTCTGACCTTTTCCGGTTAAAACTGAATTTTAGAAAATGGATTCGACGATCTTTTATCGGTTTAAATCGAAAATGCTGAACCTAAAAACTGTCCTTTTTTGGTTAAAACCGAATTTCCAAAAATGGATTCGGCGTACTTTTATCGGTTTTTATCGGTTTAAACCGAAAACTCCGAACCCTAAGTATACGGTTTGTTTATCTGGCGGCGGTCTTGTTTTGGTGACTAATACGTTTATATAGTGCAGACTGGGTACAGGTGTGTCGGGGAGCGGCTTCGCTATACATTATAGCCGTTCTTGTCTCCTGTCTCCATCGGTACTGGAAGCTGGTTTGGGGCTTTGACGGTCCAAAGGAAGTCTGGCGTGAACCGCGAGATAAGGAGAACCATGCGCGTCCTTCGCTATCGGAGTTATTCATGAATCGCGAAAGGGCGGAGGCCCTGTTTTGTCCGCGCTCCCTTTGTGACGAGCGTCCCGTTCTCGTTGCAGAAAGCCAGACCGGCTTCTGCCAGCATGGCCGAATACAGGGAAGTCGTCGTTGTGGGTGAGTATGCCCTACACTTACCGGGCTTCGACCCTCTCACGCACTTCATCGTCCGCCGCTTGGATTCGACTTGCGTATCGGTGGTGCAGTGTTGTGTAACGAGCTTATTTGAAGGCGGCGAAACGCGCTAACTTGCGCACGCACGGAAAAAGAAATTGATTTTGATTAGATCAAATGTGCATATTCTGCATTGACTCGAGAGAAAGCTTGTTACAATGGTAGACGTTAATGTCAATTGAAAGTCGTTTTCAGCACCCTAGCCCCGACCCCTTAATTTTTCGGAGACTCAAAGGATCGCATACTATACGAATCTCGGGCTATATAGTAACGCGAGTCTTGCAGCGTCCGTGGCCGTCTTTCCTGCAGAATGCTATTTCTACAGGTGCCCCTCATATATACCTCACACGTGAGATAGCCTTGGGATCGCCACTTAGATTGCCCTTTTCTCGATGTTTGCATGCACCATCGAGATTCCATCTTTAGCAGTTGACATGTTCCGGGTCGGGGATGGAATCGTAGTGGTCAGTTTGACGCGATGCCGGTTCGCCGTGCCATATGTCGCTCGTGGCTATTCTTGCCTTTGGTGATCGAGCGACTCACCCGCGTTCTGGCCGTCTCTTTTCAATGTCCAGGCAACGGCCCCTCGGGGATCACCATGTCCTATCTCCTGGCTGGAAACTGGCCTTACTACGGAGCCTCCAGTCACCACCCTAACCCCTATTTGCATGCCAGGCTTCAAGACAGCCGGGATCTCTCGCTGGTCGAGCAGGTGAGATCGGACGCGCCTGATTCGACGCGAGATATTACATAGATCCGTTGAGTTGCGAGCCGTGTATGCGGCGGTACGTTGCGCGTCGCCCAGACAGTGTAGTCCGGTGGATGGTGCGACTCCATTCGCCCCTGAGCGGACAGCGCGGTGAAAGCTACGTGCTGGCTGGACCAGTCACACGCCTGTCTTTTACCACGTGATGACGCTCCCGCCCTTGCTCACGCGCCCAGAGCGGAGTCAGGGGATGAAAGGGAGGCGGAGTACGGGGCGAATATTTGTTTCTGTTGTTGACGCTGTATGGAAACACAGTGGACTAGGTAGGTTGGCTGCACATTGCCCCTGACTGCCATAACCCCTCAGGGCGCGGAGGAGACGTGTGGTTATTTATTTCGAGCACGTACGTGATTATTTATTCCCAGCACGTACGCCAGAAGCGACACCAGACGTCACGTTCGTGCTTGACGCCTCCGAGGTTCAACTTTGGACTGGTCACTCGTAATACCCACCGATAGGATAGAATAAATGCATGGTGCTGGTCATTACTGGCTCAGCGTCCGCATCTGATTTTTTTTTTTTTCCGTTCCGTGACTGGTAGCTGTTGTCACCCTACATGTTGCCCATTAACAAACGATACGATGGTATGCACATGTCGATTTCTAGGACCTGGAGCTGCTGAGCTCTGGCTTGGAAGGGCGGTCCTGTAACCCAGTGTCGTTGCTTCTGGACTCGCTGATCCACCCGGACGCAGACCTGGGGTCGGACGAGCCGTCGGCCCTCACCTGGGCCCATGACTCTAGCAGGGCCCTGGATCACGTCGTCATCGGCAGTGGGGCTCCGGGAGGAAGTTGGCAGGTTCGTGTTCTCCGAACCTGCCGTACTACGTCCGAAAGAAGGGGTTATGAAACGGGAGCCGTACATATATATCGCAAGCCGACTGCTTCTTATGATATCAGTTAGCAGTTTGTATTAAAACTACTCCGTGAATTCGTTACGGCCTTGAGGCTCGTACAGTGGCTTTCCGGCAACGTATTCTCGTCCTTCCTGTCTTTACGTATAGATTCTCTTCCTCGAATAGAAAGGCTGCTCCAGTGTCGAGGACATGAAGCTGCCGGCAGCCATTTCGACATATCTTTTAACGATAACTTCGCCATAGCGGGTAGTGCGTAATAAATGCCCTTTGACGTGAGGAGGAGTGCTCATGTGGTGTCTTCAGTGAGAAGACCTTGTGGAGTGCGCTCCTTGCGTTTCAAGTCCCGCTCGTGTCCTTGTCTCAGGGTCGTCGTGTGCGCGATATCGTGCGTGGGAGGGGAAAGGACGAGTTGCCTGCCAGACCGGTTGTCCGGGATTTTAGTGCCATTAAAGTTACCCTCTGCGTGCGAACATGACGTCATGACACACCGAGTTCCTCGTCTGGCGTCCCAATGTTCGGCTAATGACAGCAGCGCTTTTTTTTCTTTATATTGTGTGTCCTTCGGCAAACCCGACAACACGGATTATCTGTCTCCTTCCTCTTTATTTCGTTAAGGGCAGGGCAGTCTGCAGAACCGGAACGTCAGCCTAATTAATACATATTCGAAAAGACCTCCCGTGTAAAAAAATTCTTTGTGTTCCTCGCTTCTCGAATGAGAAAGTGCGAAAAAGCATTTCATGGTCCCTTTGACTGCCTGTCCTCACAAAGCAGACATTGTGCGTGCACATATTTTTACGATCTCGTATATAAAGGTCCGTTCACACTCTTACAACCGAGTACGACCGAGAGAGACCAGACCGGTTTTTAAGCCTCTTGCGACGTGTTAGGACCGGATGCGCTGCAGCGGAGCTGGTCCTAAGACGTCGCAAGAGGCTTAAAAACCGGTCTGGTACTCTCTCTCTGTCGTACTCGGTTGCAAAAGTGTGAACGGACCTTAAGGCCTTCGAGCCGTTTCCATTTGCTTTAAAGGGCATTTATGTCGGCCACCAGAAGCGACTCCGCGTCAAAAGACGCGTGCTCAGTGTGGTGTTTGAACAGCGCTTGTCACCGACAGCGGATGGACGGCGGCATCCTGACCATCAGCTTGGGCTCGTGGATGGAGCTGCCTGACCTGACCTTCAAAGAGTGGGACGCGTCCAAGCCTCGCTCGCCACACGGAAGCCCCAACTGCCAGAACCGGGTCTCCGTGCAGCGGGTGGCCCAGTATTACCGCGACTACGTGGACCTCAAGGGGCTGCGGCCCTACTTTCGGAACTACGCCCAGGTCCAGTCCGTCAGGCCCTTCGGCCTGGACCCTGGCATGGCCGGTCACGAGAGTGCCCCGAGCGGCAACAACGACCACGAGCGGCTGTGGGAGGTGTGCGGGGTGGACGTGGAGACCGGCATGTCCTTCTCGTACGTGACGCCGCACGTGGTGATCGCGGCGGGCCACTACGACGCGCCGAGGCTGCTGGGCGTGCCGGGCGAAGACCTGCCCTTCGTGTCCCACGACCTGGGCCAGCTGGAGGTGCTGCTGCGCGACACGCGGACGTCCATCTCCAAGCTGGCCGTGGTCGGCAGCGGACTGTCGGCGGCGGACGCAGTGATCGCAGCCCGGTTTCACGGCGTGGACGTCTGCCACGTGTTCCGCAAGAAGGTGGACGACCCGGAGCTGGTGTTCAACCAGCTCCCGCGGTCCATGTACCCCGAGTACCACAAGGTGCATCGCATGATGTCGGCTGCCGAGCACTACCCCGGCTACAAGGTATACGGCAACTGCCAGGTGCGCTGCATCCGCCCGGATGGAACGATCGAGCTGGACTCTGGCGTCGAGATTACAGACGTGTCGCACGTCCTGGTGCTCATCGGCGCCCACCCGAACCTGAATTTCCTGCCCTGTGGCGGTCGCCGCCTGGGCCTGGCTCCCGGACTGCCCATCGACTGCCGGGCGAACCCCGTGCAGATTGACCCTTACTCGCACGAGACGCTCGCGCTCAAAGGACTCTACGCCTTGGGGCCCCTAGTCGGAGACAACTTCGTGCGGTTTCTACAGGGTGGTGCCCTAGCCGTCACGGCGCACATTTGGAGGAGCGTGGCCGGCTCCGCTTAGACGTCCTCGAAAATGTATCCAGTGATCGGTGCGTTGTTTTGCTGCTAAGCGGCGACTACCGTGACAGCCCGTAGCGTGTCCGTGACTAACGGAGGACGCTTCGGTTAGTTCGGGCGGAGAATCACCATTCCCAATGAGAGCACGTCCTGCCAGCTCGACAATGAAAAAAAAAAAAAAAAATCTACAAAAATCGGACCCTCTTTTGAGAGTTCACGATTCGGCCTTTATTGTAAGCGTCACGCTCTCGCAAGCTGCGGTTCCTTTTTTTTTTTTTTTTTTGTTTCATGACCGTCGACTTTTAAAGCAGCCCTGGGAAAGCGATCAGCACTCTGCTGACCGAAGTGATTTAGGCCCAGTTACTTACGTGGCGCACCAAAACTCACGGTTGAATTGGTAATAAAACAGTTTAGGACTCTCTATTCAACTGACAGTACTCCATCTCACCGTCTGGGTGCAACGTTGTACGCCGCACGACAACGAGCGCATATTGTCCGCCGTTGATCTCCGGTGCTCTCGCTCGTTCCCTAAGAGCCGCGTCGAAGAGGCCTGGCGCCCGCCGGCGCTGTGCGCAGGAAGCATTGGATCGCGTGCACAGACAAAGGCCACCGAGAAGCTCAGTAGTCGGCGTCGCGGCCTCGCTTTGATGGGGTTGCCTTTGGTTTCTTTTGAGCTCTCTGGTTCACAAAACGTCGAGGGCCCTGGTGGATGCCCGCGGCAGGATGACGCTGTTTAGCCAGAAGCTGTTAATCCAGGTGCACTTACGAGGCCACGAGGGGCATTATTTAGGACATCTGGAACAAACACATGTCTCGTATTTATTGTGCTCACTTTGTACATACGGTATTGATAGTCATCTTTACACAATGTCTTGTATATTTTATATGTTTTAGTCATTATTTATTTTGATGTTTTAATAAATTCTTACACCCACTGCTGTGTGGTCTTTTTTTCTTATGTTCCACGCAGTTTACTGTCCACTAGCAAGGTGAAGTACTTTCCTTTTTCTTTTTTTTTTTTTTTTTTTTTTTTTGGGGGGGGGGGTAATCTTTAATAGCTTTTTGCGGGTCTGTGGGCACGTTCAAGCCGATAACTGTCTTCCATAAAACGAAACGAATGAAGGAAATGATTTCGATCAGAGCTAGAACGTTAGCGAAAAAATGTTCGAAGTCCAGGCGAGCTGATGCATATTAATCATGATGTTTGAATCCTGAGCCTGGGAAAGAACTTGAAGAATAAATGAGAAGAAACAGAAGAAAGGCGACGGACAGTGTCTCAAACTCTGCGAACAACATTTCGTACAACGCTTTTCTATCCGTCTCCCAAAGTCGTCACAACGTAAAAAAAAAAAAAAAAAATGTTTTCAAGGTGACCCAATTTCTAAGCCAGTTCGTGCCGAACACACCAAGGCACAAAATTATATATTACCAGGCCTAGAAGGGAACCCAACAAAAACAGTTAACACACACACACGCACACACACATACGTACATACATACATATATATATAAGAGCACTGTAAGATCGCCGGGTTGAAAAAAACTATTTTTAGATTTCAAACAGACAAACCACCGAAACAACAGTAACAATGTTTTTTCGGTGGTTTCATGTTCATGAAAAATATGAAACACGAACTCATCATACAATTTCAGTTACAATTTCAAAAACATTTTACACTGGTTTCCTACGCGTTTCATGTCATTAGACACACTGCAAATCATTTCTGTTCCTGACCAGCCAACTGAACAATTGTTACATTCCTTAATCTGCGGCAGAAGTGGGCGGCGGAGAAAAGCTCACCGGAGAAACGCTCACCGCAGATAAGCTCACCGGAGAAAACCTCACCGCAAAACAAGCAGATGCGGAGAAAAGCTCACCGGCCTTTGAGCAAATACGGAGAAAAGCTCACCATTTTTTTTTTTTTAACTTAGCGGATTTTGCGTTAAACGTGGCAATTTAACACAATTCGCATCCGTCACTTCAAAAATGTGTACTCTTTTTTTTTTTTTGTAATATTCTTGAAGTTTTATGGGCAGATTTACTAATTCCTCAGAAATCAGTAATCACCCATTCTGTATATCAATGAAGCCGCAAGGTATAAAATGAGAACATCGTACACCGGTAAAAAAAGACATTTTATTGACAACTGACAGTGAGCCGTCGAGAGCTCTGTCAAATAAAGATGTTTGTTCTTTGCGAGCTAATATGAATAGCGATGTGTGAACCGTTTCAGCTCCAAATATTGTGTAGTACCTGATCGATAAGTAGTTGTTTCTTGATGTAAATAGTGTCAACTAGGCTGTTTTTTTTTGTTTTTTTTTTTCTGCTAATTTCACTAACAACACTTTAGTTGCGAGAACAGCTTCGTCCTGTCATGTTTGTTGTCTTCACTCCGTCGTCGTCATTTGAGCGCTTTTCATCATGTATAACCTTTACCAACTCGCCCTATTCGCTACCTTACAGAAGACTACTACTTATGGTCACGAGTAACAACGGTGCCAGCGTTAAGCTCTGAAGGTCGTGGGTGGCTCACCGCGTAGAAGGGCACTATCACACAAAGGGAACGAGAGGAAACACCAGCACGAACGGCTAGAAAACGTGCATGTCCGTAGAAGAAAGAAGCCTAAATATCCTATACTGACCGTTTTATCCTGTTTTCAAAGGTAACAAAAGCTTCAAAGAGAATTTCAGGCACCGCGTTGTTGCGCATGCACTTTCGGATTTTCGGCATTTACAGTTTTGCTTTTTAGGTTTTAGGCGGACATTACTAAGTTTTCAAACTTTTTCCTGTTCTTCAAGTTCATAAAGATTTCAGTTAGGCTTTCGTTACCTAGAAAACACTGGCCCGCAATTATTAATTTGGGAGCAATATATCCAACAAGCTTAACAAATAATACAAAAAAGGACATTTTTTTACAAAGATAACAAAGTTTAACGACAATAAATTGATATATTTTACGCATGATCCATCAGCCTCCATATGAAAAGAAGACAAAAAGAATCGGTGAGCTCTCCGCATACGCTCAATGGCCGGTGAGCTTTTCTCCGCGTCCGCCGGTTTTGCGGTGAGCTTTTCTCCGGTGAGCTTATCTCCGGTGAGCTTTTCTCCGGTGAGCTTTTCTCCGGGATTCAGCAGAAGTTGGGAGTAGTGCCTCTAGAAAATTTTCTTAAGAAACTCGGAAGAACTGATTGGCATCTTGACCGATAGTCATAGAAGGCATTGTTCGGTGATGTCCTTGGGCATCAAGGATTTGCAGGGTCGTCGAGATCAATCCGGAAAATTCACCATATTCAGGAAAACACACACACGCAAAGATAAAATGAATATTTACCGTTTTCTGCGCTTTGTTCGGCCTGCCGTAACGTCTTCCCGGCTGACATATCATCTGAACGTCTTGGCATTGCTGTAAACTTGCATCTTTTAGCCATACCACGCAATAATTTGCTTAGGTGACTTTCCGGCGCGAAGCGATTCAAGTATTGCTGCCCTTCGGTCGTATTCCCTGCTTATTTTTGAGCAAGTCGCGAATGGTTTAGCTTGCGATGGTCCGGCCGTCGAATCACGTAGCCGCAGAAGCGCAATACGACCGCTTAGCTTCACTCTATTGATGACGGACCAAATCTAGAAAAAGTCCGGATTTATCTCCGACGACCCTGTATACTATTCCCTCGAGAAGAAGAGGTTGATGAACGCGGTAAGGGAGGTTCTGGATGGAGTTCAATTGAGTTGAGTTTCAATCTGGATCGGGGGTGTCGGTGGATGGTTTTCTCACGTTAGTGGATCTGTATTCACAATGGGCGGTGGAGAAAAGCTCACCGGAGAAAAGCTCACCGCAAAACCGGCAGATGCGGTGAAAAGCTCACCGGCCTTTGAGCGGATGCGGAGAAAGGCTCACCGATCTTTTCAACTTAGCAGATTCTGCAATTGGCAATTGAACACAATTCGGATTCGGCACTTCATCAAAAATATGTCCTCTTTTTTGTAATATTACGTAATGTAATAATAAAATTTACAATCGACGGTTTTACAGTTGGAAGGTCAACAATATGTACAAAAAAAGGGGGTGCATTGGTTCTTCTGTCGCGCCAATTTTAGCTGAGATTTATCTTAAAGGGACACTGGCAGGGTATTTATGATCGCCAAGGTTTTTATTTGCACGTGACATATGAGAGCCCAACTACCCAAACAGAATTTGCGGCTCGAAATTCGTTTTCTTTCCGCTTGAAAACCGCCGATCGAGAACTGGCCGGTTTGAGCCGTGCTCACTCTCTTCTCCGTGGTCACGCGCCGTTTTCTGTGGTTTAGACACCACCACCAAAGATAATCAAAGACGTGGGTCATCAAAAGCACACACTCAATATTATAAATAAATAAAAAAAATATGATACCCATTTTTTCTGGCTTATAAAAAGCTGCAAATTACGTAGATTAAAGAAAGAAAAAAAAAGTTTCACAGAGAACCGGAAGCACTCTGTGCATTCTCTGCGTAATTCTCAACATGGGCGTCGTATCGCGGGAGTCGGGAGCTGGACGGCTGAACGAGGCGGACTAGGCGACGGCGGCGGACGACGGGCGTGGGGCCTCCACTTCTGAACTCTTCTCCGCGGTACCGGCGAATCTGTCTAGCTTCGAAAGAGAAATCTTGTACCGATCAAAACAATTCGGATAATGGAGTTAATGCACAGGTGCGAGCGAGCTGGACAAGAATGATGATGATAATCCTTGGAGAAGGGGAACAAGGGGGGACAAGGGACAAACACAAATCACCAAACACAGCTAGGTGACTGGTGCGACGCGGCCGAAAAGATCCGCCTGGTCCTGGCATCGGACCTGGAACTCTTGGTTAGCTCAGTTGATAGAGCGCTCCACTAAAAATGGAGAGCTCTCCATTTTTAGTGGAGCGCTCTACCAACTGAGCTAACCAAGAGTTTGGCGTCAGTAAAGCAAACAATGAAACGGCAAAGTCAAGCACTTCGTGTTTGACTTTGCCGTTTTCCATGCGATGTGCGTCGTGCGAATTTTTCATCTGCCTCGCACAACCGGCAAAACAAAAAAAAACCAGACAAAATAAGTTATAACCCGGTCGGGTGTAGCCACGTGACTTCCGCAACTCTCTCTTTCTCTACATTTCTTCCTCCACAGTCCAATTTCAATTTCAAGCAGTTGCACTTTTTTTATTTTAGAGCGCAGCTCTTAGGGGCCCGTTCCCGGCTTGAGCGCCGTCGCCGTCGCCGTCGCCGTCGGCGTAACCAAGGTCATCCCAAGGTCACGTGACCCCCAAGGTCACGTGACCCCTTCCAAGGTCATCTCAAGGTCACGTGACCCCACGTGACTCCCAAGGTCACGTGACCCCTCGAGGTCACGTGACTCCTCCCAAGGTCATCTCAAGGTCACGTGACCCCAAGACCCCTCGTGACCCTTTGAAGGTCACGTGACCCCCAAGTCACGTGACCCCTCTGAGGTCACGTGACCCCCGAGGTCACGTGGTCTCCTCCCCAAGGTCACGTGACCCCCAAGGTCACGTGACCCCTCCCAAGGTCATCTCAAGGTCACGTGACCCCAAGGTGACCCCCACGTGACCCCCAGGTCACGTGACCCCTCTGAGGTCACGTGACCCCCCGAGGTCACGTGACCCCCCTCCCCGAAGTCACGTGACACCCCCCCCCCCCCCCGAGGTCACGTGACCGCCCCCCCGGAGCATATTAAAGAATGAGGGGAGGAGGAGGGGTCTACCCTCCCCTCAGTACCCTTCACTCCTCCTCCTCAAGAGCTGCGCTCCCATTCGGCGTTACAGGGATTTGTAAACGGTTTTCACTTTTTTTTTCCTTCATTAAAAATATACGCGATGTTTTAACAAAATCTTGATTAAGTAGTCTTCTAACACCAAAATAAATCGCCTGGTAAAAAAAAAAAAAGAAATTGAGGGTGTCAGTGT